GATCAGACATAAATTCTTCATGAATTTTTTAGTTTCGGTGTACATGACTTTCATCTGATCAAGAAAAAAAAAATTAGTCAAAGTATATATAAGTAAATCCGAATATCTTTCACAAAATTTCAAAAAATAAAAAAGTTACCTTTCTTTTCACCAGAAGTTTTGTACACTCCAAGATACGTTTTGTACACTCAAACCCAAACAGCCTCTTGTTGGGTGCAGTACCATACTAGTGGTAATACTTAACAAGGTGCAAGGCCACTGTGCTGAAACTAATTCTATGTTTGGAGTAGAAGTTGATGTGTGATATTAATTAATTAAAAAAGAAAAAGGTCCAGTTATAGTATCGAAAATATTTTTTGGTATCTGATAGGACATTTCCGGAATACTCCAAGATAAAAACACGTGTTCTCGATGTCACTGATCCTTGTTATCGAGATCACGTACCCATCGGGTCACAAGTCCCCTCTACCCCAAGGTACTTATCATGGGATCGAGTGGCATCCAGTACGTTTTTGTGTACCGACACGTACCCTTGGTCTGATATGGTACATCGGTCGCTAAGTCTCCCCCTCTCGGATTCAAGATGTACCTATTCCTCGGTTTCAAGATGTACCTCTTCCTCGGCTCCGAGATGTACTTCTTCCTCGGCTCTGAGATGTACCTCTCCCTCGGTACCGAGATGTACCCCTCTGATCCAGGATGAAGTTCTCTGCTCCAACAGAGGCTATTGATGCACTGGTCACTAGTCTAAGCTAGGCTAGGTTAGCTATCATGACCTCGTCTTACACAATCGATGTCAGAAGGCACAGGAAGGCAGGGGTCACAGCCAATGAGGAATGGACGCGTGGCATATTGTGTCACATCAAAGACAGAAAGACCGCATGGCCTTGCTGACACGTGACTTGGGAAAACAAGCATTTAATTACGTCATTCTCTTGATGAGACTGCATTCAATGCGGTAAGGCTTAGAAGTGAAAGGCAATAAATGCCTCTAAGGCTGGACATTTATTGCGTCCTCTCCGAGGGGAGCTCATTGAACAGTCGGCAGACTGATGACACAGTATTGATTGCTCGGGATCCCGAGCAGTTAAAAGAAAAGACATTCTTCATCAGAATCAGTGCGCACACTGTCTGTACCTAATGATAACCTACTGACTACACTGACAGCAATCATGAGATTTTGAGGTATAAATACTCAGCACAAAAGGCAAAATAGTATGCAACAAAAAACCTTTGCTACAATACATACTCAGTGTTTTCTTCTTCCTNCTCTTATCCAAGATGAAGTTCTCTGCTCTAACAGAGGTTATTGATGCACTGGTCACTAGCCTCGGCTAGGCTAGGTTAGCTATCATGACCTCGTCTTACACAATCGATGTCAGAAGACACAGCAAGACAGGGGTCACAACCAATGAGGAATGGACGCGTGGCATATTGTGTCCAATCAGAGACAAAAAGACCGCATGGCCTTGCTGACACGCGACTTGGGAAAGCAAGCATTTAATTACGTCATTCCCTTGACGAGACTGCATTCAATGCGGTAAGGCTCAGAAGTGAAAGACAATAAATGCCTATAAGGCTGGACATTTATTGCGTCCTCCCCGAGGGGAGCTCATTGAACAGTCGGCAGACCGATGACACAGTATTGATTACTCGGGATCCCGACCAATTAAAAGAGAAGACATTCCTCATCAGAATCAGTGCGCACACTGTCTGTACCTAATGATAACCTACTGACTACACTGACAGCAATCATGAGATTTTGAGGTATAAATACTCAGCACAAAAGGCAAAATAGTATGCAACAAAAAACCTTTGCTACAATACATACTCAGTGTTTTCTTCTTCCTCTCTCTCTCAAAGACTGACTTAACCGTCGGAGGGGATACGCCGAAAAACACTTCGGCGCCCTTCTAACTTGTTCTTCTTTGTTCCAGGAATCTTTCTTCGGCCTTACTGGATCGTTCCTTTGATCCACGAGGGTCTCCCATTACCGTTCTAGGTTACCATAGGATTTCACATGCTGTTCCAAGCAGCGTGGTTGACCACTCCACCGATTCACTCGAGTTCACCAAAGGNACGAGACTGCATTCAATGCGGTAAGGCTCAGAAGTGAAAGACAATAAATGCCTATAAAGCTGGACATTTATTGCGTC